CTGCCTGCCTACCTGCCTACCTGCCTGCCTGCCTGCCTGCCTACCTGCCTACCTGCCAACCTGCCTACCTGCCTACCTGCCTACCTGCCTACCTGCCTACCTGCCTACCTGCCTGCCTGCCTACCTGCCTACCTGCCTGCCTACCTACCTACCTACCTACCTACCTACCTACCTACCTACCTACCTACCTACCTACCTCCTAGCAGTTCTTTGACAGAGCAGTTTTTGGTGCAGGATATCGTCGACGTGGCGTGGAAAGAGGAGGTGCAGGAAGATCAGGTCGTCATCAAGGCTTGGCTGCTATCTTGTTGTCTGAGCGAGCTATCACCGAGTTTCCAGTATGACTTTGAGTCGAAATCCTCGAGCCCAAGCTCCGAAGAGTCTTGCTTTTGGCTCCCCAGGAGGGCGACCTCGAAGCTGATTTCTTCTACATTGCGCAGAGCTCAGCTGAGCTGTGATGAGTTTCGGTATTGGGCCAAGGCGTCCGCAGCGTAGATCCCAAGGCTCGTATGCGTGAGGCAACACGCAAGGACCAACCCCAGGTAAATTTGGCAGACGATACACCCCAACCGTTCCAACCTGTTCAAACCGGTTCTAACCATTCCAGACTGTTTATGGCATGTAATTCGTTGCCTAGGTACAGGAAGGGACCTTCGAGGTCACTGTCGAAGACGAGGCTCTGGTAGTTGAGCGAAATCTTGCGAGGCATTCGAAGGACCCTTGACGAGAGATTACAACCTTGCGCATCGGCGCGAAAAATGGTATTGATGATGGTAGTAGCACAGGTAAAGACTAAAGCCCTAAACCCTAATCCCAATACCCCTAAACCCTAAACCCTAAGACCCTACACTCTCAGCCTTTAAACCTGAACCCGGGAAGGCAAGACACACCCGCAGACCAGATTCCGAACCCGAGCCCTGAATTCCAAATTGCTCGCAAAATGCAGTGGTCTGGCAGTCTGGCAGCAGTGAAGTTTTCGAAGCATCTCGAGCCTGCAGTTTGCCGAGAGTCCTGCATTAAGTTCCAAAAAAGTACGCTGCATGGCCCAGAACCCGAAACCCTGAAGCTTGAAATATTCCGAGTATTATGCCTGAAGTCCAAAGCTCTCAACTCTTGCTTCGTGTTTGTTGCCTTGTTGGCAGTGGTTGTGGGTGTGCGTGTTGTCAGTTGCAGCTTTTTTCTATGAGTCGTTTAAGTTTGTCATTTTATGCTGGATCGCTTGGCCACCTTCGAAGGCCAAAGGAAAGTTGAGCAGCAAGGTTGGCAGCATCTCGAAGGCAGAGCAGGGTCATAGTGATAGCAACACAGCATCATCAACGGCTATACCAAGAACTCCATGTCCGCACAGGGTCTGCTTTCGGGTTTAGTCTCATGGGCTTTCGGATTTCGTCTTCGGATCTCCGGTGTGGGTTTGGGGTTCTCTTGTGACAATCCTATCAAGGTCCAAGCACGGATAGCTCTTGTCGACCGGACATGCAAGCAGTCAACTTGATCGGGCGTTTCGAGGTTTCCACTGATTTGCTGTAGGCATCAGTATGGCGGTTGAGCTTGCTCTTTGGCTGTCTGCGAGATCTTCAGCATACCACGTCGTGTGGTATCTAGACTGGACAGCCTGCGTCTCAATAGACATGCATTCGTTGCTTGGACGTGCCTTGCGCAGTGACTTTCGAAGCTGATCTGTCTTGGAGGGGCGAAGCCCAACAGAAGCAATCATCGAAATTGTGAGACTCTCTCAGCTGCGAGGGCCAGCCTGAAGCCCCAAAAGTTTTCCCGAACCTCGCCCCGACTCCAGGGCGGAAGCTTCGGTGAGCTTGCACTGCCGCTGGGTGTCAAGCTGCAGCTCTTAAGTCTGGCTAAATCGTCTTGGCCAAAAGCAGAAGTCAGCCCTCAAGCCGAAGAATGTTGGCACAACACTGGGCTCTGCATATTTGTATAAGTGGTATTGGCTATTGGTGTTATTGTGCTTGTTCTTCTTCTTGTGATTATTCATAAAGCGGTTTCAGTTCTATGACTCCCGTTCTGATTACCTTTACCATGACTACGACTGATACCACTATTATTGTTTGTTATTGTTGTTATCATGGCTGTGTTATGCAGTTGCTGCGAGTCAAGTTCCGTGGAGAAGGACTCACCTGCGAACTAACTAGTCCGCAAGGATCCTTAGTTAAACCAGACCCTATTATGCCTGTAGCATCATATCCTACCCTACAGCCCTACTTTCAATATTCAGGCTCTGTGATGGGTTTCTGTTTTCCTTACCCGAAAAACGCCGAGGCAATAACAAAGTAGATACTTTGGCCCTAAAGTTTGGCCGTAAGGTGCCTATATAGAGACGCCAAAAGTATCCGATCCATTGACTGCATAGGTACATGGACCCTTCAGGGCACAAAAATCCCAATGTTGGAAGGGCTGATCCGAGGCTCTACTTGACTCCCCGGGCGGCAACCGTGACCGCAAAGGCGAGCCTCCCAATATCAGGAAAGGGAAACGTGCAAGAAAGAGAGAGAGAGAGAGACATATATATATATATATATGTATATGTATATACATGTGTATATATAATATAATATAATTTAATTTAATTTAATTTAATTTAATTTAATTTAATTTAATTTAATATAATTTAATCTAATATAATTTAATCTAATGAAATTTAATTTAATTTAATTTAATTTAATTTAATTTAATTTAATTTAATTTAATTTAATTTAATATAAT